CAAGACCAGTGGCTGGGTGAATAGGAAGCATATCAGCCAATGGTCTTCATAAAAAAAGGGAAACCAAAGAGAAGTAATGATCTGATTTGAAAATGAATAGGCTATTTCAGGGCAACTACTAAGTAAACCAGAAGATGAATTACATATTCAGTGAAATTGGGAAAATCATCAACAAGGATATGTAAAGAAGTTTTTGCCCAGAGTTCTGCTTTCAAGATCTAGAAGGTGGGCTTCTCCATTTTTTATTGATGAAGATAAGCCTAGTGTATCCCTCCTAGTTAGTAGGAACAGATTGGATTTTTGACTTTACACTTTAAACACGAGAGAATCTTGTGTTTACCATTGTTGATCGTCTTCTCAAAGTGCTAGTTTATTGGCTGCTAAGCTGTTCCCATAACGTTGATACTTTCTGAATCACTGACATTAAGAATCAGCTTGCCATCTAGGCAGCGAACATTTTCCTAATGAGAGGTTAGTCTCTGCAGCCTCTGTGTTCCTTTAATGACAGGTTTATCAACATAACTGGAACTCCCTTGTTGGATTTTACAGAACATAAAATAGTAATATGCTTTATGCGTGTTGCAGCAAGTCTTAGGTTTCTTTCTATAGTCATCATAAACTTTCTCCCATTCGCTCTAAACTTTTCATACAAGTTTCTAGCAGTAATAAAATATTAAACATACACTATATTTTCAGGATTATCTAATAAGGTAGTGCAAAATGCAGTTACTATAAGAATGCTAAATCATACCAATCAATTAGAGATCATTTTTTTTACTCATATAACAAGTCAGGGAACTGGCCTAATGGTACCGTACAGTAGGTGTGGCATGACTCGGTCCCCAGTAGACGTAAGAGGTATATCTTTTGTGCAAAGTCAGTAAAAATGTATTGGCCAACAGCTAATGATTTCCCTTAATAAAGTATAGACATGTACTCTAATAGGAGACAAGTATGTGTATCTATATACTTGTTTGTAGAAAAGAGTCATGTTTAATGAGCAGGTAGGTGATGCATTTATTCTTCTTGGATTTGTACCAGTACATCTTTTTCCTACAAGGAAAGCATACACAAACTAAAAGCTATCCATTTAGATTGCAATCATTATTGAGACTTTTGGTTACTCATATAACAAGTCAGGGAACTGGCCTAATGGTACCGTACAGTAGGTGTGGGCATGACTCGGTCCCCAGTAGACGTGAGAGGTATATCTTTTGTGCAAAGTCAGTAAAAATGTATTGGCCAACAGTTAATGATTTCCCTTAATAAAGTATAGACATGTACTCTTATAGGAGACAAGTATGTGTATCTATATACTTGTTTGTAGAAAAGAGTCATGTTTAATGAGCAGGTAGGTGATGCATTTGTTCTTCTTGTATTTGTACCAGTAGATCTTTTTCCTACAAGGAAAGCATACACAAACTAAAAGCTATCCATTTAGATTGCAATCATTATTGAGACTTTTGGTTCAATACATGTTTTTATTTCAGTATGGTTTACCCTAAAAATAACACTGGAGTTTTATTTATTGGAATGGCTGTTTTAAAGTAGAATGGTTTATGTCGATCAGAGAGCTGGTCATAAATATCTTTTAGTATGGTGTCCTGAGATGGCCTAGGGGTCTAGTGTCAGCTGTATCCTCTACAGTCTTTGTGCTTAAATCACTGATTACAGCTTTTATAACTCCCCTACTCTCCATACATTTTAAGATTAAAAACGTTTTTTGAAGTGAAATCTTCCATTGAACTATGTCTTTTCTATGACTTGTGTCAATTCCTTATGTAGTGGGAAGGAAAAGTACTTATTAACCATTGAAGAGATCTTGTTTTATTCAACATGCAAAAGCTTAAAGCTTGTATTTCAAACATGTCATTTTCAGTAAAATGTTTCCACTGGGCATGCACTTACTTAGAAAATGCAAAAGAAATACCTGAATTGAGATGAAGAACAAAGAAATTTGTTATTTAATACACCGAATATTATTATACACTTAACATATAAAAAATCCACAAAAAAATGTGAGCGTAGGGGGGCTTACAATAATGGAAGGGAACTTCCATGTAATCATGCAGTCGTACATGGCTTATTACTCATCACCAAACTCCCACCAGCTATGAACAAGAAGGCATTAGACTCTGCTTTCATAACCTAACGGCACACATATTTACTTACAAAAGAAATTAACTCTGGAAAATGTGCCCCAATAAAAAGTTAGGCAGCCAACAAAGGACTAGACATACAGTGCCTTGAATAAGTATTCATACCCTTTGACATTTTCCACATTTTCATGTTACAACCGAAAAACTAAATGTATTTTATTGGGATTGTATGTGATAGACCAACACAAAGTGGCACATAATTGTGAAGTGGAAGGAAAACGATAAATGTTTTTCAAACTATTTTACATATAAATATCTGAAAAGTGTGGTGTGCATTTGTATTCAGCCCCATGAGTCAATACTTTTTAGAACCATCTTTCGCTGCAATTACAGCTGTAGTCTTTTTGGGGATGTCTCTACCAGCTTTGCACATCTAGAGGGTGAAATTTTTGCCCAGTGTAATTTAATCTCAGAATGAATACAGCTGTTCTGTGAAGCCCTCAGAGGTTTGTTAGAGAACATTAGCGAACAAACAGCATCATGAAGGCCAAGAAACACATCAGATAGGTCAGGGATTTAGTGGAGAAGTTTAAAGCAAGATTAGGTTATAAAAAAATATACAAAGCTTTGAACAACTCACAGAGCACTGTTCAATCCATCATCCGAAAATGGAAAGAGTATGGCACAACTGCAGCCCTACCAAGACTCGACTGTGCAGCTAATTTTTGCTCAAGTATCGTTATATTGTAAAAAATGAATGAAAGAACCCCTGCGCTTAGATGACCTTAATAATAATAAAGCTGCTAACACCTACTATGTACCAATATACCATATACTAAAAATATATAAAAAAATGGTGCAGCGCTGCTAATAATAAACCAGCATTAAATCCACTTAGACACTGCATACAAAGGAAATAAAAACAGCACAAGTGAATCAACCCCCTTGGTGACAGCGTAAAATGACATATATCAATCACTGGTGTCAAGGTGCAAAATTGACACACACTTAGTAAGTGACTAAGGGGTGATAAAACAGTCCAATTTGAGCACACAGGTGAGGAACTCTTCAAACACGTGGATGTGTCATACGTGCCACAGAAATCCCAAACTAATCTGCCCCCTCACCTCCTTGCAATGACCTCAAGGGCCAACCAGCGTTCAACAGATAATCAGGCAATCTCCTGCTGATCCCTTCAATATGACCGGAATGATGGTAGCTTTAGCCAGACCTCTTCCTGCACTCCACCGCTCTGGCAACACCTCTATCTTCCACTCAGAGACATAAACCAAAAGGCTCCATAGTGCAATATATCCAATTTATTAAATAAAAAACAAAATACCCACTTACATGTAGGCAAACGACCTCAAACAGTTATCAGCTGTCCTCCTGACATGCGGCTTCATGGAGTCCCAATATGGCGCGGACGCCGGAAGTGCTGTCACCGCGTTCCGGAATAGACAATGGACGTACCAACGCGTTGCGTCACGAATATCACGTGACTTCATCAGGGTCTTAGACTTCATTCAGCCCCATGAGTCAATACTTTTTAGAACCATCTTTCGCTGCAATTACAGCTGTAGTCTTTTTGGGGATGTCTCTACCAGCTTTGCACATCTAGAGGGTGAAATTTTTGCCCAGTGTAATTTAATCTCAGAATGAATACAGCTGTTCTGTGAAGCCCTCAGAGGTTTGTTAGAGAACATTAGTGAACAAACAGCATCATGAAGGCCAAGGAACACACCAGTCAGGTCAGGGATTTAGTGGAGAAGTTTAAAGCAGGATTAGGTTATAAAAAAATATACAAAGCTTTGAACAACTCACAGAGCACTGTTCAATCCATCATCCGAAAATGGAAAGAGTATGGCACAACTGCAGCCCTACCAAGACTCGACTGTGCAGCTAAATTTTGTTCAAGTATCGTTATATTGTGCTCCTTTAAAATAACCACACCGTCTTTTTCCAGAGCAGCCTGTCTGCCTCCAGAGGTTACCTGTGGATTTTTCTTTGTGTGCCGAACAATTCTTCTGGCAGTTGTGGCTACAGTTTTTCTTGGTCTGCTTGTGCTTGGCTTGGTATCAAGAGATCTCTGAATTTTCCAATTCTTAATAAGTGATTTGACAGTACTGACTGGCATATTCAAGGCTTTGGATATCTTTTTATATCTTTTTTTCATCTTTATAAAGTTCTGTTACCTTGTTATGCAGGTCTTTTTGACTGTTTTTTTTTCTGATTGCTATGGCTCAGTATCTAGCCTGCTCAGTGCATCCACGGGAGAGCTAACAAACTCATTGACTATTACCTTTCCAAAGCATGCCCACTCAATTTAATTTACCACCTGTGGACTCCAATTAAGGTGTAGAAACATCTCAGCAACGATCAAGAAAAATGAGAGGCACCTGAGCTAAATTTCAAGTGTTTTATAAGGGTTTGAATAATTATGACAATGTTTTTTTTTTTTTTTTCTTTTTAATAAATGCACAGATATTTCTAAAACACTGCATTCACTTTGTCATTATGAGTGTAGATTAACCAATTGCCGAATGCAGATAGCTGAATGACGGCTTCACTGTGGCCGGCCAGTTCTGGGAGGGCGTCATATGACGTTCTCCCAGAACACTCCCTCCCGGGAGCGCACCCGACGATCTCTGTGATAGCTGTGTCCTATAGACAAAGCTGATCACATGATGTGGTAAAAGGCCAATCACAGCAGCCTTTTACCACGTCATCAGCCGTGTCCAAGGACACAGCAGATCATCGGTAAATGCAGTTGCCGGTTATCTGCTGCACTTTCCTCACGCTGTCACAGCATGAGGAAAGTATTGCCAATAACCGGCAATTGTCAGAGGAGGGATCGGCACCGATCATCAGGGCACTGATGATCAGTGACCTGATGATCAGTGCCCAGCAGTGCCACCCACCTGTTCCCAGCAATCAATGCCACCCACCAGTGCCCAGCATTGCCACCCATCAGTGCTGTCCAGCAGTGCCATCCATCAGTGCCCAGCAGTGTCACCAGTCAGTGCCCAGCAGTGCCGCCAGTCAGTGCCATCCATCAGTGCCGCCTATCAGTGCCCATCAGTGCCCATCATTGTTGCATATCAGTGCCATCTCATCAGTGATGCCTATCAGTGCCACCTATCAGTGCTGCCTATCAGTTCTCATTAGTGCCACCTATTAGTGCCCATCATTGTTGCATATCAGTGCCAGCTCATCAGTGCCTCCTATTATTGTCTATCAGTGCTGCCTATCAGTGCCCATCGGTTCTGCCTATCAGTGCAGCCTCATCAACGCACATCAGTGATGGAGAAAAATTACCTGTTTGCAAAATTTCATAATAGAAACAAAGAAAAACCTTTTTTTTCAAAATTTTTGCTCTTTTTTCATTTATAGCGCAAAAAATAAAACACCCAGTGGCGGGTACATACCACCAAAAGCAAGCTCTATTTGTGTGAAAAAATGATAAAAATTTCATATGGGGTGCAGTGTTGCATGACCGCACAATTGTCATTCAAAGTGTGACAGCACTGAAAGCTGAAAATTGGCCTGGGCAGGAAGGGGGTATAAGTGCCAAGTAGGCAAATGGTTAAATAGAAAAAAAGTTACGTTAAACAACTGTAGTATCAGGCTGCAACATAACAAACCTGAAAAAATTGAAGGGGGTCTGAATACTTTATGAATGCACTGTACATACTATGTATGTGTGTGTGTGTGTGTGTATATGTGTGTGTACTATATATGTATACACACACACACAAAAATGTACATACATACGTATATACAGTATGTGTGTGTATTATATCTCAATTCATTAAATATTTTCCCACTTAAATATTAAAACAATAATACTTCTTTTACAATCCCAGATATATCCTATTGTTAAGATTACATTTGTTTAAAAGCCCTGACTATTCTTTGAAATGCTACACTGATTTATAGTAGGAACATGTGAAGGCCACAGTTTTACTGTTTGCAATGGACAAAATAAAATACGGATTGACATAAGAAAGAGTTTAACCTCTTCTCACTGCAGTCATCCAGAAATTAGTTAAGGCTCCTTTGGGGCGGGTTCTTTGAATAGGTATTTAAAGCTTACTCTACATTTAAATTAGAATGTATATCCTACCTGCAATATTGTGTATTTTACTTTAACTCTGTTTCCCCTCCTTTGTAGATTAGGGATTAACTTGAGTCATTATATTTGTCACCAAAAGCTATCATTTTTCCATGGGCAGAAAGGGTGAGATCTGCAGAGAAGGACAGCATGGGCAGGTGTCCTGATTATTTTACTGGGAATCAAAACATCTATTTTGGCTTTGCTCTGTTATCATAAGAAATTATAAATTGCTTAAGCACACCCTCATACTTTATCGAGATTGATTAGTCTATGTTACCATAAAATCATTCTATTGTGCTACTCATTGAAATGAACTGATTCTACTCAGCTAAATGATTATAATGACTGTTTGCGGTCCTGCTGTTTTCTCTGTTGCTCTATAAAACACACCTGCCATATTTTACGCTGGCCGTGATTCTTGGACACAAAAAAAGCCAAATATATACAGTAAAACAGACCTTGCATCCAGTCCCACTGAGTTCCGGTCCCACTGAGTTCAGCTTTAAATGCATGCGTGCCAAGAAATGGTATAAGTGTGACACTTACAGATATTTATTAGCTCTCACAGAGATCCCAATGGTCCCCTGATAATGTCTTTATCGTCTTTTCTCTCAGAGCCATTTTTTTAGGCTGATTTGGACCCAGACATGATGCAGTTATGTAAATCCTGGTGTTTGTACAGTCTTGGTTGTGTTCACAAATGTCTGACACTGAACAGTCCCCTGCTATAGTAATTCACTTTGTGACTTGCTACAATGTTACAGTGTTTCAGAGTAATTAACAAGGAAGGGAACCTGAGGAAATACTTCCTCCTGGATGCAAAACACTGGTAAAAGGTGGAGCTTTTTTTAAATATAGTGTTCCTACTTCTAAACTAAAGTTAAAGAAAAGCTCATTTTGTATAAAGGAAATACTTTTATTACCCTAATTTCGTAATACTGCTTCTTACTGTAGACATTTTCCTGCTGCTGCTTTGCCCAGGCCCACCATTTCATCTATTATACAGCACTATGTGGCTTTGAGGCAGCCACTGTATCGGTGAAAGTGCAATCTGTCACTCGGTAGAAGTGCTGTGTTGTTTCTGTAGCACTCCCCTGACCTTCAGGAGGCATGGCAGTAGCCCAGATGCAATTTCTCCTGCTCTCTAGGACCCAGGCCGGTGGAGAGTAGATGGAACCAAAACCAGAAAAAGGCGACCACCAGTGTATTAAAGATTGTGCAGCTCCAAACAAGGCTGGGGAAGCCCGACCAATACTGCAAAGTGAAACAAAAACGAGAAGCGCACCAACCTTGCGCATTACCTCACTAACCAAATTTATTAATTAAAGAATGGTACTCACAAACAGCAAATAAAATCAGGCATGTAGTCCTCAAAGGGACTTCAGAGATAAGGAGCCAGTGCGAATCCCATCATGGGGGTAGACACTTAGTACAGCGTGTCTACCCCCATGATGGGATTCGCGCTGGCTCCTTATCTCTGAAGTCCCTTTGAGGACTACATGCCTGATTTTATTCGCTGTTTGTGAGTACCATTCTTTAATTAATAAATTTGGTTACTGAGGTAATGCGCAAGGTTGGTGCGCTTCTCGTTTTTGTTTCACTTTGCAGGCATGGCAGTAGCCCCAGAGACAGGGTGGGCTGACATTTCAGGGAGGGCTGAAAGATGGATGCCAGATACTGTAAGATGCATAGCTTGAAAGGAAAGTGCCGGTTCTCAGATCCTGCGCATGCTCAGAAACGTGTTGCATGCCTATTACGTCAAACGCCATCGCCGCTGATCCAGAGTGTACAGGGACTTGCCAGGCTTTCATTTCCAGGCTCCATCTTACATCGCTTCAGCGCTCCCTCCTGTCCAGCCGGAGTTCACACAGATTTGCCAGGCTTGTAGTACAGGCTCCACTTAAACACCTCTCCAGCGATCCCTGCTGTCCAGCCGGCATTCCTGTTCACTGTTCCAGATTACAACTTCGAGGCGTACCTTGTTAACCCCTTATGAGCCTACTTATTACCATCTACACTTGAGTGGTTTTATTTATGTTCACCATTTAATACATCTTACAGTCTACACTCATAGGCGCTGTGTTTCTCTTCTTGTCCACTCCAGAGTCATTGCTTCACTCTATCACAGCTCGCCGGGTGTCTCCAGACCCTTTGCTCCCCGCCAGCTCCTGACCCCATACTCAGCCTAGAGACTGCTTATTCCATGCGCTGTCATTCTTTTTATTCAGAATTGTGCACCTACACCTGGGTATATATGATTGTTCAGCATCAGTCAGATTAATAGCTCCTAAACGTGCACCATTTAGGAGATAGTTGCCCTTTTTCATAGTCAGCGCATGCACTCCAAAGGAACAGCATACCCGTTATTTTGTCAGACGTCTGGAGCTCGCAAACACTTAAGGAAGACCGGTTTGAAGATGGAAGCCCCGGGGAGCAGTGACAACACTCCGCTGGAGGGCTTCATATTAAGGTAAGTCCTTCATAATGTGCTAGTATGCAATGTATACGAGCATATTATACCTTTACCTTGCAGGGATTTTTTTTTTATTGTGGTTAACCACCTTCCGCCCGCCATATAGTACAATGACGGGCGCTAGGTGGGTCTCTCATTCTGATAGGACGTCATATTATGTCCATCCATTCTCACCGCACATGCGCGGCTCAGGGAGCGCACAGTGTGGCGATCGCTGGTGCGCTGTGTCCCTCGGACACAGCGGATCACGGATCACGAAAAGAGCGAAGATGTCGGCTCAGTCATGTGATCAGCTGTGTCCAATCACAGCTGATCACATGTAAACACGGAATGCTGGTTTATCGGCATTTCTCTCTACTCGAGCTGTCACACTGACAGCTCGAGAGGTGGAGGAGAGCCGGTGATCGCTTTCTGTGGAGGGGGACATTGTACACTGATCGTCAGGGCACTGATAATCAGTGTGCCCTGATGATCAGTGTGGCCCCAGAAGAGCCACCTGACAGTGTCCCATCAGTGCCAGCAGTCAGTGCTCATCAGTTGCCACGTGCCAGTGTCCATCAGTGCCACATCAATGCCACATATCGGTGCATACCAGTGCACATCAATGCCACATATCAGTGCCATCTGAGCTGTCTTTCAATGTCACCCATCAGTGCCAGTCAGTGCCACCTATCAATGCCACCTATCAGTGCCAGTCAGTGTCACCTATCAGTGCGCATCAGTGCCGCTCAGTGCCGCCTAACAGTGCAGTCAGTGCTGCCAACAGTGCCAGTCAGTACCGCCTATCAGTGCCAGTCAGTGCTGCCTATCAGTGCTGCCTATCGGTGCCATATATCAGTGTCATGTATCAGTGCTGCCTTTCAGTGCCCATCAGTGATGCCTGTCAGTGACCATCAGTGCAACCTACCAGTGCCTCCTCATCAGTGCCCATCAGGCCACCTATCAGTGTCCATCAGTGCAGCCTATTAGTGCCCATCACTGCAGCCTCATTAGCGCACATCAGTGAAGGAGAAAAAATCACTTATTTACAAAAATTGTATAACAAAAACTAAGAAAAAACTTTTTTTTTCAAAATTTTCAGTGGTTTTTGGTTTGTTTAAGAAAAAATAAAAATCCCAGAGGTGATTAAATGCCACCAAAAAAAGCTCTATCTGTCTCAAAAAAATGATAAAAATTTCATATGGGTACAGTGTTGCATGACCGCGCAATTGTCATTCAAAGTGTGACAGCGCTGAAAGCTGGAAATTGGCCTGGGCAGGAAGGGGGTATAAAGTGCCCGGTAGGCTAGTGGTTAAACATTAATATTATTCACGTATTAAGCCTTATGCTTTTTTTTTTACACTTCTTACTTCCTGGTTTCTGGACTGGCCAAAATGTTGTCATACAACCCAGGAGTCTTTGTGGCATTTTTTTTCTTTCATCTGGAGAAGGGGAGGTGGGGGCTTTCTCAACTAAGCACGCTCTCCTACCTTAAATGGTGTTTTCCGATTTGTTTTTGGACTCTCATTTGTGTTGACTGTGAATAAGTGACACGGCCATGTGGGTGGAGCCCTGCACAGCCACTTTTTTAAAAATTTCACAGCTAGCAAGGGGGGAGAAGATCCCCCGCTAGTTGTCAAAAAACGGGGATCGGGGGGGTAAGCGGGGGCCAGTCTGGTTGTAACATGTTACATGGTACACCCTGAATATGGGTGTAACATGTAACATGTTATGAAAGGCGAACTTATCATTTAAGAAAGGGGATATCTGTTGGATAAAGAGAAAAAAAAGGATTCAAATAGTGAAAAAACCTACTGCTAAAACTGCCATTTTTTTAATTGCTCCAAGTTAGAGTTGCATTCTAAAGGCCAGGAATTGTGTAAAGTATTTTATGTTTAATATATTCAATGCCAGTAACTTGAGTGGTTTCCACTATTTCCCTAACCATACCTGCAAAGCAAATTAGTTATTTAATATTTACTATACTGTCAGTCACTCTACATTAGCTGCTATGTTAGGTTGAAATTTACCATTGGCAGTTGGTGGCATCCTTCTGGATTACTGGAGAGGAAGCTAGCTGTGTGTGAAAATGTTCCTGCTATCACTACTTAATATCACTTTCTTTTAAAAAATCTGTTTTAGATTTTGAAGCTTTGACCTCTTATGAATCTTATGACAAACTCTTTTATGTAAATCAACATTTGCACCTAAACCACCACAGTTAGAATGCTTTTGTGGAACACAGTTTGGGACAAGCAAAAAAGAGAATGCTTTTGTGGCTCCATCAAAGAATCTTCATATTTTTTTTTACATGATTGCATTTTTCATGGGAACAACATACTGTAGTACTTTATCCCATCTTTTAAGTAACACTAGCTGTGACGTTGGCATGGGTCCTCCCCTTCTTAGCACATGGCCACATGCCACTGAAACTAGTAAGGAGTTGGGCTGCTTTGATTGTAAGCTCTTGTTTCTAGCTTCTAGCACTTGACTTGAGGAAAACACCAGCAAGAAGAATGCAGAGGGAGGTGATGTGTGTCAGCCGCACCTCCTCCTGCATTCCTCATGCTGGTGTGTCAAGGGAGGGTATCCTATCTGACAATCGCAGCTAGTGTTACTAGGCACCTAGAAAAATGGGCCAAAGTACTATATGTACTTTGCCATATGGGGATCTGAATATTTTAAACAAAAATTGTGAGAATTCTACTTTAAATAATACTGTTGAAGTATATACCACACACGACGGCTTACATTTGTTCAGCAAAATGAGAGCATGAATTTGGTAAATGTAATTTTCAGTAAAAAGTTTCAGTAAAAATAGCCACACTTACACATTTAAAATAAAGTAACTCCTGCGTTAGCAAAAGGAATACTAAGCAAGCTCTTTATTTAGTGCACATATCCTCTGGAAAATTATGCATGTAACATAATAAAAGGCATAGATGTACAATTGGCAATATTAACAGCTTCTAGAGGCGTACACTAAGAAAGAAAAGCTTGAAAACACACAACCTGTTTTAGCCCTACATTAAACTTATTTGATGAAAGTGGAGTGCTAGAGATATATTTCTGTTTAAGAATTCACCCCCTCTACTCTGGCTTCTGACTAATTTTGGGTATTTTGGATTTGAAACTACATTTTCTATAGCCTGAACATTGCCTGCTTTCTCCAGTTGTACTTATTCTTGCATAGGTATAGAGCACAAAGCTTAATGATTGCTTATGATTGTATTTTACAACCCTTGAACAACCCGTGTTTTTTCTCCTTCTCTATATTTGCTTTTAGATCATTAGAAACTTGTACTGGTAGAATTTAATAACTATACACTTATTTCTCTTCCCTTTAATTTTTTACCTTCAGCAGAATTTTCACACTTATCGAGGAATCTAACACATGCCTCCTAAATCACTTAGTCATCTCTTAGCATTTGGGGGGGGCGCTTCCTGTTTTCATGGTAGCACTTTAAAGGAGGAAACTTAATGTAAGATTGGGGTATATAAAGGCCATGAATGTTTTATTGTATCCAGAGATGAAAAGATTGTTGGTGCATTACTTAATGATACTGATGATTATGAGAATGATGTTGGTGCATTACTTATAATAAGATAAGGAATATTTGCTTCACGCTAGATGCTTATTCCAAACTATGAGACAATTGGGGTGTCTTGTGAGTTTTGTTGCGTAGAGTAAGTGAAGCAAGCACATTCCCCACACATTCACTCCACTTATTGTATACAGAGTAAATATTTTATTGCATCTTAGATAGCTAATGCAAGACCTATTTTAATGGGATTTTAAAGTATAGTATATGGTCATCCAGTCCAACTCTTATCTCTATTGTATATTTCACCCACTGTATAAGCTAAAGCACTATGACACTTATTAACATTACAGTCATAGTTATTATAGATTGGATTTGTGGACTGTACACTCTGCCAACACTAGATGACCCTTTTGCTCTTCATTCAGTGTTGGAGATATACAATATACTGTATATATATGTGTGTGTACATATATATATATGTGTGTGTGTGTATATATATAATATATATATAATATATATATATATATATATATATGTATATATACTGTATATATACACACACACACACACACACGTATCTGTTACGCCCTTTGGTTATGAGACGTGCACACTTATGCAAGCAGGCAAATAATCTGTGTGGAGCACATTTGATACATAAATGATCAGGTATATGCTCAAAATATGTCATGATCTATAATCTTTCATGTTTCAGGCACTTGAAACTGTTCATGTTTGCCAGGCTTTTTATGAACCATTATTGATCAGGTCTAAAACCAGTTTGGTATGGTCCTCCTCCAAAAATATTATTGAAAGCAATAAATATAGATATGGTATGTGTGTGTATGTATATAGGTATGTGTGTGTAATATATATATATATATATATATATATATATATATATATACACACTGTGTGGATATATTTAAAACTGTGTGTGTTTATTTGAAAACAACTTACCTCTCTATGCTATAAGGTGGAGCTTGTGCAAACTGCTTTACTTATCACTGCCACTAATACAGACTGACCTAGGAAACTTGAGGATAACATCAATAATTATCACAGCACGATGTTCCAATCACCTCCATGGCCACATGTATAAAAAAATCAAGCAAATAGGCATGCAGACTTCTTCTACAAACATTTATGAAAGAATGAGTCACCCTCAGGAGTTCAGTGAATTCAAACATGGTACAGTGATAGGTTGCCACCTGTGCAATAAGTCCATCCATGAAATTTCCTTGCTACTAAATATTCCACGGTCAACTGTTAGTGGTATTATAACAAAGTTGAAGCAGCTGGGAACAACAGCAACTCAGCCACCACGTGGTAGACCACGTAAAATGACTGAGCGAGGTCAGCACATGCTGAAGCGCACATTGCGCAGAAGTCGCCAGCTGTCTGCAGAGTCAATAGCTAAAGACCTCCAAACTTTGTGTTGCCTTCAGATTAGCACAGTGCATAGAGAGCTTCATGGAATGGGTTTTCATGGCCAAGCAGCTGCATCCAAGCCATATATCACCAAGTGCAATGCAAAGCGTCAGATGTAGTGGTGTAAAACATGCCACCACTGACTCTAGAGCAGTGGAGACATATTCTATGGAGTGATGATTCACGCTTCTCTGGCAACCCGATGGACGCTTCTGGGTTTGGTAGTTGCCAGGAGAACAGTACTTGCCTGACTGCATTGTGCGAAGTGTAAAGTTTTGTGGAGGGAGGATTATGGGGTGGGGTTGGGCTTGGCCCCTTAGTTCCAGTGAAGGGAATTCTTAAGGTGTCAGCATACCAAGACATTTTGGGCAATTTCATGCTTCCAACTTTGTGGGAAGAGTTTGGGGATGGCCCATTTCTGTTCCAACATAACTGCGCACCAGTGCACAAAGCAAGGTCCATAAAGACATGGATGAGTGAGTTTGGGGTGGAGGAACTTGACTGGTCTGCACAGAGTCTTGACCTTAACCCAATAGAACATCTTTGGGATGAATTAGAGCGGAAACTGCGAGCCAGGCCTTCTCGTCTGACATCAGTGCCTGACCTCACAAATGCACTTTTGGAAGAATGGTCAAACATTTCCATGGACACACTCCTAAGCCTTGTGGACAGCCTTCCCAGAAAAGTTGAAGCTGGTATAGCTGCAAAGGGTGGGGCCAAATCAATACTGCACCCTACGACTAATACTGGAATGCCATTTAAGTTCATGTGCATAAAAAAGGCAGGGGACCCAATACTTTTGGCAATATAGTGTGTATATATATATATATATATATATATATATATACATATAGTCAAAATGTAAATAAAAAACTCTATGGCAAAAGTCCAGTCTTTTGAAGTTTCTTAAGCCAAAATCGCATAGAGTGGGGCCTGAGCTGGCCCATTTAGGCCTTCCTCTCTCTGAGGAGTGCTTCCCTATTTCTAAGCTCTACCTAGGAGTCCTAAACCCAAATTTCACAGGATGAAGAGCTACTCTCCAAGGAAAGTTAAGTACAAAATATAAAAGTAAAGAAAGAAACAGGACATCCACTCCACTAGTGCATCGGAAATACCATAGAAGGCCAATAGGCTGTCCTGAGATATAAGTGACCTAAGGGTCCCAAGTTTGCTCAAATTATTCCATTTTGTCTTTCCGGGTTGCATAAAGTTTTTTGTTATTTATAATCCTGGACAGCTTGGCCTTAAGTAAATCAAACAAGATGGTAGTAGACTTCCAAGGTCTAGCTATAGTATCCTGGGCTGCTGTAAATACAAGCAAAATTCATCATCTCACATGTTTCAGAGCCTCCTGGTTGACCCAATAAAGCATGTTGTTAAGATTTCTTGAGGTTTTCCCATGTCAGAGAGTAGATTCAATTTGTAGGCACATATTCAGTCTTCTCACTTTCGGGCAGGTCCACCAGATGTGGTTGAACGTGCCCACCTAGTCACAACCTCTGAAGCAAAGTGGGGAAGCTCCTTGAACATAAGAGGCAAGTCTTGATGGCACCAAATACCAACTGAGCATTGCAGTTGACCTTTTTCATGGAGGTGTTAATATACGATCTGGAAGCACAACCTACCATCTTTCAACAGTCCGCTAGATCCAGTTCCACATTTAAGTCACATTTTTTGATGGACTATTGTGGTTTGTTCCTTTTGTGATTTTTCCATGACCTCTACCCTGTATGTGTCTTTTTGCCCTTACACTATGTGTTGTCATCTCTAGGGGGTTGGTGGGTAGGACTTAGGGTTTATTCGTTTGTTCATATCCATGTAGTATTGTCCTAAAAAAGATGGACTGAGCTTCAAGCTTCATTGAAATGTTGGCAAAAAAAGTTGCTATTATGATTTACCTCCTCTGCAAGACCTGTGAATGCTTCTATACCTAGTTTAGATTTGTTTGGATTTGTTTGTAGGAGAGCACCTAGGCATTTAACCCTTGGTGTATATATATATATATATATATACACAGCGCCTTAAAAAATATTCATACCCCTTGAAATTTTCCACATTTTGTCGTGTTACAACCAAAAACGTAAATGTATTTTATTGGATTTTATGTGATAAACCAACAAAAGTAAAACATAATTGCGAAGTGGAAGGAAAATGATAAATGCTTTTCAAAATGTTTTACAAATAAATATCTGCAAAGTGTGGCATGCATTTGTATTCAGCCCCTTTTACTCTGATACCCCTAACTAAAATCTAGTGGAACTAATTGCTTTCAGAAGTCACCTAATTAGTAACAGAGTCCACCTGTGTGTAATTTAATCTCCATTATAAATACATCTGTTCTGTGAAGACCTCAGAGGTTTGTTAGAGAACATTAGTAAACAAACAGCATCATGAAGGCCAAGGAACACACCAGACAGGTCAAGGATAAAGTTGTGGGGAAGTTTAAAGCATGGTTAGGTTAAAAAAAAATACCCAAAGTTTTGAACATCTCATTGAGCACTGTTTAATCGATCATTTGAAAATGGAAAGAGTATGGCACAACTGCAAACCTACCAAGACATGGCCATCCACCTAAACTGACAGGCTGGGCAAGGAGAGCATTAATCAGAGTAGCTAAGAGGTCCATGGTAACTTTGGAGGAGCTGCAGAGATTCACAGCTCAGGTGGGAGAATCTGTCCACAGGTCAACTAATAATTGTGCACTCAACAGATCTGGCCTTTATGGAAGAGTGGCAAGAAGAAAGCCATAAGAAGTCCCTTTTGCAGTTTGTAAGAAGCCATGTGGGGGACACAGCAAATGTGTAAGAAGGTGCTCTGGTCAGATGAGACCAAAAATTTAACTTTGGCCTTAAAGGAATATGCTATGCGTGATGGAAAACTAGCACTGCACATCAACCCGATCACACCATCCCCACCACGGGGGGGGACGTTGCTGAAACATGGTGGCAGCATCATGTTGTGGAGATGAAAGGGAAAGGGAAGCTGGTCAGAGTTGATGGGAAGATGGATAGAGCCAAATACGGGTGATCTTGAGACAGGGTGGAGGTTCACCTTCCAGCAGGACAACAACCCTAGACATACAGCCAGAGCTACAATGGAATGGTTTAGATCAAAGCATTTTCATGTGTTAGAATGGCCCAATCAAAGTCCAGACCTAAATCCAATTGAGAGTCTGTGGCAAGATTTAAAAAGTGCTGTTCACAGACACAGCTGCAAAGAAGAATGGGCAAAAATTTCACTCTCTAGATGTGCAAAGCTGGTAGAGACATCTCCAGAAAAACTTCCAGCTGTAATTGCAGCGAAAAGTGGTTCTACAAAGTATTGACTCAGGGGGGGGCTGAATACAAATGCAAGCCACACTTTTCAGATATTTATTTGTAAACAGTTTTGAAAACCATTTATCATTTTCCTTCCACTTCACAATTATGTGGCACTTTGTGTTGGTCTATCACATAAAATCCCAATAAAATACATTTACATTTTTGGTTGTAACAAAACAAAATGTGGAAAATTTCAGGGGGTATGAATACTTTTTCAAGGCACTGTATAAATGTACTGCACTGTATATATACTGTATATATTTTGTATTTTGAATTTATTGTAGTGTAATGTATCGTGTTATTGTAGTGTTTCGTAAACCACTTGAAGAGCATGACCCGATGTAAGTGGTTGAGTGTTCTCTGTAAAGGGCTATATAAATGAGTAAAAAATATTTTCTTATATATTGTATAACATTTTCTAAAGATGGGTTATAGAAAAACAATTCTAAAAAACTGCCACGACATGTGTTTGAAGTTATATCCCTTTTTAATATGAAAATTGGTTTTAAGATGCTTCAAAAGTTGTACAATAGTTGGGGTATATATTACTAGATGATACTTTAAACATACAACAGGACAGACATGATTTTGCAACATTTTTATTGTAAACAAATAGTTCCATTGTAAAATATATGTTTTAATTGGGTGCAAATTGGTAATAACTGCATTTTTCATTTTTAGCTGATTTTGGCCTTGCTAAGCAGAAGCAAGAAAATAGCAAACTGACATCAATTGTCGGAACCATTCTCTACTCCTGGTAAGATTCCCAGTTATTTTGGCCTTTGCCACAGCTCACATTTCACCTGTTAATTATCATCAGTCCTAAATCTGCTAAGGAGGATAGTGTGGATGGTGATAGGTGATGGCATTAGGAAAAGGTTCACAGAACTTACTGCCATGACCTGCCTATGTTTTTGGAGATAACCAAAGAGTCGCTTGCTATAAAAACAGAGCAGCAACTGCCAAAGCTTTTTCCAGCTCTGCTGTGTCTGATCAATGGCTCAAGCCTTAAATAGGAGTAGATTGAGCGTCACATAGAGTGCCATACTTCTATACCCTAGTCCAGTGTCAGTCTACCCTTACAACGGGCAGACAGTTGGCGGTAATTTTATTGGTAAAATATGAAAGTGCAGCGCTAACTTAAAACAATGATTACACATAAGATAGATCCCATATGAATGTGGATCGGCAAAAAAGACGGCGTCAGTTCATCAGATGTGCTAAATACGTATACAGTCTCCAACACTTGAGGAGCCAGGGATAGTAGATATCAGAAATGATAAAGAAAAGCCAAGTAATGCACTGACCAGATAGCGCATGTTAAAGCGCATGGGACATTTAAGACCTGTCCCTGGTACTCAGCCACTGTATCACTGGAGCAAGGCGGTGTCATCTATAGGGTGACCACTAGATGTCATCTGTCCGGATGGAAGCTGTGTCCAGCCACTGTGTTGATGGATCAGGTGGGTGTTGTCTATAGGGTGACCACTAGATGTCATCGGTTCCAGGAGAAGCTGTATCACGGATCCAGGGATGTCACTGCAGATGTGTTCTTGTTAGGCACAGTCCCAGGACCTACTGGATTTACAGGCTCCCCAGAAATAAAGAGCCCGTGGAAAAAGGCCTCAAATAGTGTGATAACGTTTATTTAAAAATGAACAATCAGAAAAGAACTTACTTAGCAAAGGTACAGCTGCTTATAAACGGCCAGACCGGAGGTACATGTACATAAGATAAACATAGCTTGGCACTTCCCTAACGCGTATCGTGTAAGTACACATCATCAGAGGGTAATTTTATTGCACTGTTTTATTTTCATGTCATAGGAG